TAAAAACCTAGAGCACTCCTGCACTTCACTAAAGGTCTGATTACTGTAAGTTGGGTTCTCACAATACTCAAATTTCAAACCTGATTCTGATACCAATCATTTATTTTTAATACAGCAACACAATTTTTTTCAAGGCAATGTTATTTCTGGTAAGGAGCAAAAATAAATATTAATTCAAAGTGATAATAAAATACACTTAAATTGTCCTGATTATTGCAAAATCAATAATCAGGACAATTTTATTTACTGTGATGGAGTAAAATTGACAGAAATAAAAGCAATAACAAATAAATCCCTAAAAGGTTGCTTTTATTTATCTTAAATTATTAAGAATAATCTGTGTGAAATGGAGGAAAAAATATAAAAGTCAATGAAATTCTAACATTTTGGACACTATTTATATTTTTAGGTTTAATTCTGTCACTTTTGGTCATCCTTAGAAACAGTTTACCTTAAGCCCCATTTACATTACCTTTTTAAAACCGTGCCGAGAACGGTCTGAGCTCGGTAACCGAGATAACTGTTGAGTGTAAACATAACAATTGATTTTATTGATCTCACATTAGAGAAATTAATCTCTGCATTTAATCCTTCCCCTTGGGGAGCAGGCCAGGGTTCAGCTTCGTGTGGACGGGGCCTATAAGCCCAGGTTAGACTATTGTTTGTCGTATTCACTTCCCAAAAGCCGACTCTGTCAAGTAACTTCACCAAAGGCTGCCTTCGTCACCTAACTCCCCTCAAACAACGAAATATCACAATAACAAAACTTCCTGAATGTTATGGACTCCGCCATGTTGATTTGTTTGTTTACCTCTAGAGAGCAGTAGTACCGAAGTTCGTCACTAGGAGGCGAGGAACCTTGCTAACATGGTCTGTAAACGGTCCTAAGGAACCGAGTTTGGCATGGTTAACTGATCCAATCTCGGCACAGTTCGGTTTTCAAAGGGTAGTGTAAATGGGGCTTTAAAGGAATAGTACACCCAAAACATGATTAGCCTTCATTTTCTACTCACTCCCATGCTGAACAACACTCTGGAGTACTTTTTTGATATCTAAAATGCATCTGGAGATCTGGGAGGCTTCCTGCTGTCTGCTGACATTCAAATAATGGAGGTCTATGGCGCCCGAGACAGAAAGGTCCATAAAAGTCCACAAAAAACGTGTCAATATTCCTCCATACTGCTCGTCCAATGTATTCCAAGTGTCCTGAGTGGGTAGCATCCAGAATTTACTCGAAACAAAGTCATTTAGAATGTTTTTAGAGCATAAACAGTAGTGTATAGGATTTCCTGAAAGCGCGTTCACGGCGCTACGGAAACCGCGGCAGATCAACCCAGACGAAAGTGCGCATTCAGCTCAGCAAAGAACTCATGCTCTTCCTCAACACTGAAGTCCTCAGACATTTTTCTTTCGTTGTTTCTTTCTTTGCACAGGTAAAAAGCACATTTCTTCTTCTACGCTTGCATTATCGGCAGAGCAGACGCTGAATGCGCACTTTCATCTGGTTTGGTCTGCCGGCTTCCGTAGCGTCGTGAACGTGCAGGTGCGCGCTCTCAGGAAATCCTATACACTACTGTTTATGCTCTAAAAACATTCTAAATGACTTCGTTTCGAGTAAATTCTGGATGCTACCCACTCAGGACACTTGGAATACATTGGACGAGCAGTATGGAGGAATATTGACACGTTTTTTGTGGACTTTTATGGACCTTTCTGTCTCGGGCACCATGGACCTCCATTATTTGAATGTCAGCAGACAGCAAGAAGCCTCCCAGATCTCCAGATGCATTTGAGATATCAAAAAAGTACTCCAGAGTGTTGTTCAGCATGGGGGTGAGTAGAAAATGAAGGCTAATCATGTTTTGGGTGTACTATTCCTTCAATGTCAGTCCTACAAATATTTTATATTTTTTACATTTTCTTATGCTCGATGTAACATTGTGTTCTTTCATTTGCCTGTCAACTTGGTAATAATGATAATAACATCTTTTTTCTACTGAGGGACTAATAAAGGAGGACTCTATACCAAAAACAAAATGTTTCTGCTGCATACCAATTATTTGGTTAGGTACGATCAATTCTGGTCAATGCAGATGTATTCAGGAACAGCCCTGTACAATTTCTGTCTTTCTAGTCATTTTATTTGGTAATTAAGTAAGGGGGTATGTTGCTTTTTTATGCCTTAATTGTTAGCTTCATTCTGGCACCTACTTCTCCTCTATAGTCCATTCTTGAGCCTGGGGCGAGGGTGGGGGCCCCCTCACTGATCCCATGGTGTGTTATGGTTCAGAGGTAGAATGCAGGGATCAGGTTGCCACCCCTTTAAGCATGTGTTGCTTTTAGACTGTGTTTTTTAATTGAAACCACATGCCTCCAGGAGATATTTATGATTATAATAGATTGAATATCCTTGCCTTATTAATCGTAACTGCCAATACTTCACATATATCTAGACACTTGATCCCCCTGTCCTTTTTTTTTTTTACCCAAATATACAAAGATTGCACTTTGCTTTGTAGCAATCAAGTTTATATATATGAGTCAGTTTAATTTATAAAGGCTGGAAATAACTTGGTTTTGCCTCTTAGGATAGAAAAGAAAAAAGGAAAACAGTCGAACTCTGCCTGTTGTTTTTACTGCGGCTTTCTGGGATCCCCAATCTCAGAAATATGCCTTTGAGGCCTGTTTATTTTCCTGACCCAAGCATTTTTCAGCCTTTTAACCTCCACATTTGCTACAAATACACATTCTGCTAAGGTATTTACTCAGGGCATTAGCTGACCTTCTTGCGTCTTGCCCAAACACTTCATCAGGAAGCAGCAGTACCCCCCCATGACTGGCCTGGTGCCACTGCATTGTTATGGTTAAGCCTTGGTGTAACCCCCAGATTCCACATACTCCGTCAGCGCTCCGCCCCGCTGACGTACGTCGTGCGGAGCGCTTGTCTTTCATGGAAATCAATGAGAGCTGTTCCACATCCACCGCTACTCCTCCGCACGTCTCCGTCCACGTACGTCTTCTCCGTCCGTCACCGACAAATTACGGAGCCGAGCTATTTTTTGCTCCGCTCCGGTCCGGCCAGGTCAAGATCCGCAATTGCAATCGCACCAAACAGGAAAAAGAACATCGACAAATTCCGGTTCGTCAAATTAAAATATAGTAGCAACAGATCAGTGACTAGAAATTATAGCACAATTCTTATATATAAAAAAAAAAAAAAAACTAACACCGTTTATTTAAATGATTGGATCCAAACTATTGGTTATTCACCAACGAGGAAGCAGATTTCTCATCTCCATTAAAATATTTATTTTATACCGAGGGACTTAAAGTTTAATCAAATCCATTCAAAAGAAACTTCTTATTACAGGAATGAAAAGAGATGCTGAGTTGTAGAGAACAAGTTCATTAAAAAAAGCAGTTTTGAATTATCCTAATCTCTGTTACAAAAATCTACAAATATATATTTACATATATATATATATATATATATATATATATTTGGGCAGAAACTGAACATATGCTGGATGATGGTGGGATTTTTTTAATATGTCATATTAAATTAAGCGCTCACAGGGTTCATACAGGAATGAGATACTCTAATTTAATGATATTTTAATGCTATTAGAAATGATTTTAATGCCATCAACAAGAACCATGTACACAAGTTATTAGTGTACATGAAATATGAAGGAGCTGCAAGCAGAGTTCCATGACTCCTGTATGTATGTAAACACACACACACACACACACATATATACGTATATATATATCCTCTAGCTTTTTCTCCGCCTCGAGCTTCCTTTCCGAACATACGGCTTTATAAACAGTTCCACGCAAATTAATAGCGATATAATATATCTGACGAAGCATTTTTATTAAAGAATCATAAATGCAACGATAAACATATTTAATTAATTTTAGTGCCAATTAAGGCCTTGATTAAAAAAAGAATTATGAATTGTAATTATTTTTAATGATCCGCGGAAACCCTGGTTCATCTGGCGCATGCCCTCTACGATCTCCAAGGAACTCAGAGCGGAGGGGACGGAGCAACAGCGGCGGCTGTAGGCTTTGCTTTGTGCAGGCGGTCTGGAGCGCAGCGGGGCGGAGCGGAGCGCAGACGGAGTATGTGGGATTTCAGGGTAAGTCTACACTCTACGGACTGAGGGCAGTCACTGTAACACTGCAAAGACTTCAACACTCTGCAGGAACCCAGGCCTGACTCAATAAAAGAAGCTTTCAATTTCAGCTTCCTGCAATCTTATCTTCTATTACTGTAAAAAAAAAACTTTTCATTAATTCAATTCAATTCAATTCAGTTTATTTATATAGCGCCAAATTCACAACACATGTCATCTCAAGGCACTTTACAGTTCAACCAGATCAAATTGATACAAAGTTTTCTATCTAAGGAAAACCAGTTGATTGCATTGACTCATTGACTCAAATACAATCCCCCACACTAAGCATGCTTGTAGCGACAGTGGAGAGGAAAAACTCCCTTTTAACAGGAAGAAACCTCCAGCAGAACCAGGCTCAGTGTGAGCGGCCATCTGCCGAGGCCGACTGGGGTTCAAGGAGACAGAAGCAGAGATACAAAAAGCAGCTGTAAAAGGCGGCCCCGTCCAGGAAACACACAGCCAGGCAGACGAGCTCCAAGGCAGCTCCCATGCCAGAGGACGAAGAAAGCACATCCACTCAGTCACGGTCAGAGAAACAGGACCACACTGGAAAACAGGCCGATCTCCAACATCTATAAACAAGGGTGTTGATAGAAGCAGCACAGCTGATGTTTCTTTCCAGGATGACGTCACAGCCAAACAGGAACAGACGAGGCAAAGCTACTCAACAAGGTTAAGCCTTGGTGTAACCCCCAGATTCCACATACTTAACAAGTCATGTATGCCTCCGGCATCTGCATGCCTTTGTACAGTGCTCCATTCGGTTTCTGTTTTTTGTGTGTTTGTGATTAAAATACAACTCATGCCTCTCCTCAGGTTTTCCAGGACCTTGGCATGTCAGTGCTGGCTGGAGCATCTGAGGGCTACAATGTGTGCCTGTTTGCTTACGGCCAAACAGGATCTGGAAAGACATATACCATGATGGGAACAGCGGTGAGGATTGTGCTATAAATGTTGCATTATTGTTGGAATGATTTGTGGTTTAATTAACACAAAACGTCAAACTTCATGAAGCAGAAAACAGTCATAGACTGAAGACATGACTAATCCAGTCGGATATATGTTTTCATCCATGAAAAGTCTTTATGTTCTTTTTTCTTGGTTCTGCAGGAGTCCACTGGCTTGACGCCTCGCATTTGTCAGGTAGGATAGATCATTAAAGCAGGCAGCAATATAAATGAAATTGTTAATTTGCCTTTTGAGTTTACAGTTTACTGATTTTGGGTAATTTTCTGGCCTAATTCCTTCCCAGTGTCTCTTCTGTCCTCAAGTTTTGTTCTCTGATGGACAAAACTCAAGCAGAGTGGAAATCAGGTGGGTTAGTGCAGTGTTTTATTTGAGCTTTGACATCAAACCTGCTGAATAAAAATATATAGTTTGCTTTTGACTAAGTTGAATGTATAGAAGTTTATAGGCAAATGGTTCTATTTGTAAGGAACCAGTTCTTAATGGTATCAGTAAAAGGCAACGGGACTTCCTCTCTTTTCTTGAGGAGGTTTTTCCTCTCATCATTAAAGTGTCTTCAGTTGTAGAGAAAAAAGAGGTAGTGAAGAAGCATTTCAGATGAGTGACTGAGTTACAGTTTACCATCACAGCATGGCAGCCTGTCTGAGCATCTGACATTAGGTAAAAACAGCAAGTGAAGGTTAGAAAATACAGAGGGTGTCTGGCAAATACATTAGAAAGCCCTTGTGGAAGTTTAGCAAGGGTCACATTTGGATTTGGATGAGATCAAACGGTTCTTTCCTGCAGTTGCTTTGCAATATATTGGTGGGAAACCGTGATGTTAGAAAAAATTATATTGGATGGTTTTGAATTGAGACCTGTTGCTAAATCCTTTCAGTTTTAGCAAAGTTTGAATGTACATCAAATGATCCATGTTTGAAATTGTTTTGATTCTGTTTTTCTGTTCTGTAGCTTTTTAGAGATCTACAATGAACGTGTCAGAGACCTGCTGAGAGGAGGGGAGCAGAAGAGGAGAACTTCCCTTCGAGTTAGAGAGCATCCTGATAAAGGGCCTTATGTTGAAGGTATTTCTGCTTTAATCTGTGAAATGTTTCAGCAAAGGTTTCCTATGCACCTCCTAAGGCTACGCTCAATTTTAACCGTGTTCTTGAGCAAGAGATTAATTTATAATGTGATGCTTAACCCCTAAACCCCATGCTGCTACAAAGCTAGAAGATATTTCATTTATCTGTTGGACTCAATATCCCTATGGCAAAAAATAATGGTTCTACAGCCTTTTATAATTTAAGTAGAAGGTGTTATTTTTACTGATAAATATCTGCTAAAAAGGGCCTTTGCCTGTAAGTTTTAGATGATAAAGCTGTAGTTGTATCTTGTTAATTTCTCAGTTTTATTTTTAGACATATATCAGTAGCTTAATTCCTAATATATTATTTTAGCTCTCCCTAGCGTTTCTTTCTAATTAAACACTTGTTTACTTTCCAAACCCGCTGTTTGTGTTTAAAACCCAACATCCACTCATTGTCTCGGTCAGGAGAAATCCCAGTCGTCCACAGGAAGTGAACTCATTTCCTCGTGTTTCCAAGCAGAGCTGAGGGCTTCATCTCACATGCAGACTTGCACTTAAATGCAGCATCAAGACTTAGCTAGTCTTAATAAAATATGTGGGAAGCCTAATAGTGTCTCCTCCTGGTGGAGGTACTCATATTGATTTTTTAACTTTCACTTCAACAGTTAAATTCTCTAAACATTAACACTGTCCAAACAAACAGTTTTACTAAATATTTCCCAGGATACTAAGCTTTCAACAAGTTACCCAAATGTTAAAGAGGTATCAGGTGTATTAAAGGAGCCTGGTTCTGTTGAAAAAGGGTGATTAATAAGTCTCATGTCAATGTTTTCTCTGTCAGATCTTTCACAGCACCTTGTCACTGACTGCAAACAGGCCCTAGACCTCTTGGACGAAGGCGTCGCTAACCGCATGACGGCTGCAACTCACAACCACGACGCCAGCAGCAGATCCCACGCCATCTTCACTATTCAGTACACACAGGTTGGTATATAACCCCGCTTTTATAAAGTCGCATCTTTTCTGGGTCTACCACTGCAGTGATTATTATAGAGTTTTTACCAACTTGTGTAGATCTCTGGCTGCAGATTGAGCTGATTCTCTTTTCTCTACAGGCAATATTAGAAAATAACCTCCCTTCAGAAACTGTAAGCAAGATTAACCTGGTGGACTTGGCTGGAAGGTGAATCTCCTCCCCTCCTGTGAAAGCATAAGGCCACCCCCTGGTGGACGTTAATAATTGCCCCTATATTATCTAAACAAGGGTAGTGTTAATAGTGATTTGTTGTGTGTTTTATGTCTGACAGTGAGAGAGCTGATCCCCAGTACTGCAGGGACAGACTGACAGAGGGATCCAACATTAATAAGTCGCTGGTCACTTTGGGTATTGTCATCTCTGCTCTCGGTAAATAACATTTTTTAGGATTTGGTCATGAAGGGTCTAAAAAATCAGAATAGATACCTCAATGTTCATCTTTTCTGATATTTTCTTTTACCATTCAAACACATCACACGGGGTTTTTATTATTCATCAAAAATTAAAAATGTAAAAGTACTCCATGCGTTCGTATTAAAGAGTGATGAGTCTGTACTGTGTCTACTTTCAATATTTAGATAAAATATTTTGTCAGGTCTTTGCAAAATCGCTTAAGGTCAGTTAAACTGGACCTTAGATAAATTTATCCTTTGGATCGACAGGGTTCCTGCAGGTCCTTAAAAGGTCTTAAAAGGCATTGAATTCTTCAAAATAAAACTAAGGCCTTAATTGGTATTAAAATGTCTTAAATTAGTCTTTCGTAGGTCTTATTTTTTTAAAACATCATAAATAGGGTTATTTTTATTACGATTTATTTTTGTAATCTAAATAAAACGTTAAAATTGAAAATATTTTTTCTTTTATTTAAAAAAAAAAAAACGGCTCGCCATTATTGGTTCTGTCCCGATAGCGGAACCAATAAAAGCGTTGTTGCGGCCGGGACATTTGGGAGATACACCATTAACTTTTTGTCTGGAAAACATGAGCAAGTGTAAATGTAACCAAAATTGTCTCCAGCCAAGAGTTTTCTCCATGGCTAAAACCAGGGAACAAACATGAGGCACAGTGGATTTTGTGCAAGAAGTCATTCAAGCTCAGAACGATGGGAATTAAGGCAGTGGAGTCGCACATGCGAAGTATGAAACACAAAGCATCAAAATCGAGTTACCGAGAAACAGCCGGTATTTCTCGGTTTTGTTCCACCCTTGTCTCTGCAACGCCTCCACTTATCACCAAATCAAACATACTAAGAAAACGATACAAAGAAAAATAGCTGCAAAAAATACTTTAAAACTTATTTATTTTGTTCCCTGCTAAAACAAAGTTTGTGAATTCGGTTAAATAATTGTTAAAATATATCTGTCATTTGTGTGTTTTTAGCTTTCTTCCTGTATGGGAAGCTTTTCAAAATTTGAACCATTAGTGCAGTGGTTTATGTTAAAATAAACCTTTAGGTTAAGTTGTCGCAAGCAGGTTTTTTTTTGTGTTTCTTGTAAATTTGGTCTTAAATTTTTATTTCAGGTGGCATTAAAAAGTCTTAAAAAGTCTTGAATTTGACTTGCCTTATGCTGTAGGAACCCTGATCGAAGTCTGGAGTTTAATTTGTCCTTTCTAACTCATTTGCTCACACCTAAAGATAAAAGAGCATGTCCCACAGAAGGGACTAAAATGCAGTTTGTTTTAATTCTTATAGAGCGTATCCATAAAGAGATTTGAATAGAAATTCATGTTGCACTAATAAGATTAAATCCAAATGTATTTAATACAAATCTTCCATTCAATCTGTTGCTGTAGAATCGGTGTGTTTACCTATGGAGGGACCAGAGTTTTTATTTAGGTTAACCATCCTCTCCTCTTTTACATTCTCTGCCCATCCTTCCGTCTTTTTACTTCGGCTGCCACAGCCCAGAACTCCCAGATGTCAAGCAGCTGTCAGAGCATCAACAGCGTGGCCTCCGAGGGTGACAGCAGTACGTTGGGAAGTCACAGCAGCTCCCTGTCTGGAGGAGGAGGGAGGCGGCATTGCTTCATTCCCTACAGAGACTCAGTCCTCACTTGGCTATTGAAGGACAGTCTAGGTGGCAACTCCAAGACCATAATGATTGCAAGTAGGTGTTGCTTTTTAGATTCGAGCTGAGCGGTTGCTCATGTTTATGTATGGAAGCAACCAGCTGACTAAATAGCATCACTTTTATGCTGATTTTTATGGGGCTGCTGAAAAAACAGTGTTCTTAACTTATGTTAGATGTTTTTATTCTGTTTTTTTCTGTATGTTGCAGCGGTCTCGCCTTCTGCTAACAGCTACAATGAAACCCTGAGCACCTTGCGCTATGCCGCTCATGCCAGAAACATCGTCAACAAGCCTCGTGTTAATGAGGTCAGTGGCTCTTCCGCTTAGCAAAAGTTAATTCAGCATTTCTCCTTAAAACCTTAAATTGTATGTGTTCCCCTAGTACTGAAGATAGAAGACAATTTTTAGTTGAAGTATACATTTAATTGACTTATATTATTTTCTGTTTTTGATGTTTTGATTTTCAGAAGGTTGATCAACACTTTTAGTTTTTAAGCCTTTTTTTGCTCAAACAATACCTTAGATTGATAATTTATCAATTTTATAATTCTTTATATAAAAAAAACTCTTTTCAGTTATTCAGTTTTATAGATATTTACAGTATAGATGTTTTGATGAATTGATTATGACTTCTTAGGATTCTGACTGAAGTGAGTAGCTGTACCCAGCAGAGGGAAGAAAGAACTGTTGCCATGTTCTCTGTACCACCAACAGTTGCCAATTTTAAGTGTATAGTGAGGCTGGTGAGCAGCCCAGTGTAAAACATGCTTGCTCAACACATGTCTGGCACACGTTAAGCTTTGACAAACTCTACTCTGCCTGCAAACCTTTGAAATAATTGGTCTCAAAGCAAAGCAGTAAGCATGTGTCATCCTGTCTAAAATGCCCATTAGTATCAACTTTGACCTCTGCTGTTTCTGCTGTTTCTGCTCTTCATAATCTGAGTGTAAAAGAACTACGCAACCAACCAGAGGTGCCAAGTGACAAAGTACAAATACTTTGTTACCTTACTGAAGTAGAAATTTTGGATTTTTATTACTGAAGGCAATATTTTTTTACTTATAATCCTCACATAAAAAAAAAAATATCTTGACTTTCTACTCCTTACATTTGAAAAAGTTTTGTTTCATTTAAGCCCATTCTCATCATGGCCTCTTATTATTTAAGAAAATAAAAACAATCATAATCATTTTTGTCATTCAGACATTTAATTTCTTTGTGGTCAGACTCTGTTCTGCACCAATTTATTGTTCACCACATACCAAAATAAATAACTTGAAACTGTTACCATTAGATATAAAACTAAGAAAATTAAGTTTAAGGAAGTTATCTTCTAGAATTGTTGAAAAATGTTCCTTTTATAGGGTAGTGCAGTAAAGCATCTGTCCTTAACATTTTTCATGCATTACTTTTACTTTTATACTTTAGGTAGTTTTAAAAATAGTACTTTTACTTAAGTAAAAAGCTTAAGTTTATACTCTGAACTTCTGCAAAAGTGTTTAAACAGTAGGATTCATAATTTTTATACATGTCTGCAACCGACCAAGTATCAACAATGTTTTTTTCTAATTTTCAGATTATTTTCTTCCAGCTCCTGATGGGTAGCCTAATGCAAAACTTTCTTTAATTTCTTCCAAAGTGCTGCCTATTCTGTGTCCCAAATAAATATTTTATTTTATTTTTTAACATCGAGTTCTAGATTTCGATCTAGATACACAGACATAAATAACCCTTCTCTCATAATTACTCTATTTCTATTTAGTCAATTAAATAAATGTTCCCTTCTATTTTCATTTAAAACATTTTGTTTTTATTTTAGATATTTGTTTACATTTTTTTAAATGAAGTTAAATCCATGTAAATCTTCATATAGATTCTGTGTAATTTGTGTTATCGGTGCATATGATTAATTAATTTTCCGAGTGTCACGAAAGCAACCCTGAAATAGTAACGTTTTGTTTTTTTTCATCCAGGATTAAAATAACTGCTAATATTGTTCTTTCTTTCTATCGCTGGCAGTCAAGCATAATCACTATCCTGTAACTTTGCTTAATAATAATTAGGATTAGAGTGCTCTGGATTGGAACTTTTAAATGAAATGGTATAAAATCATCTTCTGGGGCGGCATGTCTGATTCCTTATTGCTTCCCACTAGATACAAGGTAGAAAATGTATGTTTGCACTAAATCTATTAATGTGACCAAATTTAAAGACAGTTCTACAATCTTATGCTGGTCAACATTGGTTGCTCTGTTATATTATGTTGAACTTAACGCTTAGATTTATTCTGGGAGTTAAATTGAACTTTTTTGAGGATTTGGCTTTCATTTTTGTGCAGGATGCAAATGTTCGGCTCATTCGGGAGCTGAGAGAGGAGATCGACAGGCTGAAGAGCATGCTGCTCAGCTTTGAGTTGGTATGTTAATATTTTGCCGCTGCTGTAACACCCACTTGAGTTAATTCCTTTAAAAAAAACACATTATTCTGTTTAACTAAAAGTGTTCCCCTAAGTTAAAATTTTATAGTCTGATCAATAATGTGCTTCATTTGCATTTGTACGATTCTTTCATTCTTCTGTGGTAAAGCCTATATAATTAGCATTTTTTTAAATCATGAACAGTGTTTACAGTTTTTTTTTTTATTCCACATGGATTCAACAGCAATGTAATCCCAGTCCATCCTTGAGCGATGAGAGGGAAGGAAACCTTTCAGAAATCGTGCTACAGAATGAGCTGAAGGTAGCGAGGAAGCAAAAAAACCAACTTACATCTATCTATCGCTCTGATTCAAGCCTTTTATACACCTTAGTGAGGGTCTCTGTCCAACAGATTATTTGTTCTTCCTGTCAGGTGGAGCAGCTCACACAGGACTGGTCAGAGTCCTGGAGGGACAAGAAGGAGCTGCTGGAGCAATACAACGTGGACATCAACAGAGACAAGGCCGGTTTCCTCATCAACTCCCTTCAGCCTCACCTGGTTTCGCTGGACAGAGATGTTCTCAGCACCGGAGTTATTTTCTATCACCTCAGGGTATGACGATAGGAAAAGAAACCTTTATACGTGTAATGTCCCGATGGATCTGCTCTACTTTTTTTCTACATCTTAAGGTCTTTTCTTTTATCAGCTTTCCTGATTCAAATCTTCTCCCTTTTTCTATTCAGACTCCTCTTCTTCAGCTTATTCTGATATATGTCTCTGCTAAAAAACTCTTGACTAAAGGTGCGTTCTCATGTCTTCCCTCTGTTCTATCACTCCTCCCACCCAAAACCCTTAGCACATGTCACATGTCTCTGCAGCCGTGCACAAAGCTTGGTTGGATCAGACACTCTTAGGCTCTGAGACATGGACTCAGGGGAGCTTAAACTGTCCAGATTCTGACATTGACAAGCATATCCTCAGGGTTGACAACTATACTATTTCATGCACGTGATAAGATAAGGCCTGGAAGCTCATGTGGTTTTGAAATCATACTGGAAAAATCTCTTAAGGTTTTTGATAAAACAAAAAAGTAAACAATTCAGTGTAAGATTAAAATGGAATACACCTCCTGGTAAGGCAGTTATTTTCTCAGTCCTCTTGCCAGCCACACAACAGTGTAACAGCTCTGTTTAGAAAGCAATGTGTCATTGGTGGAGTGAATATCCTAGAAAAAAAAGTAAAGAAATGTCAGATTCCAAATATGCTGTGCAGATGTTTTTTTCATTACAGCTGTTGAGATTCAATGTGAAAGTTAAAGGAAATTTAAATAGAGATAGAGCTAATGCAGAGTTAGAATATTACATATAATCCCCATAAAATACTGTAAATTAGGGTCTGTGTTTGCCAATGGCAAAAAATGTGTAAAATATTCATAATACATTATTAAATGAGACTATTACAAAAGATATTACTGCATATATCAAAATAAGAATATCTCTATTGAGAATTACTGTTTATGGGTGTAGTTATTCCTAAAACAATATTGAAGATTATATTTAGGTCAGTAGTTGCCATATACAACACATGCAATTGCATGCATTAAACTTTGTTTTTTTTTCTCCCCAGTTTTTTTTGCCTTTTTAAAGAAACTGCTTCTCATGTTAATTTGTTTTTTTTTACAGGAAGGAATTACCCGCATTGGACCACAGGAGCATTTTGAAGAACCACATATAGGTACATTTTTGTTAAGATACATAGACAAAGTAACACTCTTAAAATGTACAAATTACCCAAATAGCAAATAACATATTCGCTTCTCATTTTTGATCCAACACGTTCAGTTATCTCGATCTTATATGTTTGCACTGAGTGCTGATTTTGTGGAGCCTTGCAGAAATAAGCACGGCTTTCTATCTCTAATGTATGAAGCCATCTCCGATTCCTGTTTGTAGTCGTTCAAGGCAGCTCGCGCTGTGAGATTGAAAACCACGGTGGGGTGGTAACACTCCGACCGCTGCCGGGCTGCGTCTGCCTGCTCAACGACAGAGAGGTCACTGAACCCTGTAGACTGGCTCAAGGTCAGTTTCTGTCCTTTAGAAAATGTTTGATCGCAATGTCTGTGTCCACATGGGACGTTGTGTATTTTTAACTGCCGTAGTGATAACAGTTATGTTATAGAACTGAATATAAGATGGGAAGTAATGTAAAATTATCCCTGTAAACATTATCATGATAACACGTCAGCTTCTAAGGACATCATGTGGAGGAAAGAGCATGCAAACACCCAGAACCTGCAGCAGACATCCACATCTGTGTCCTTAGCTTGCATCCACACATTGCATCAAGCTGAGCGCAGCATGTTATAAAGAATACCTCTTTGCCTCTCTAGGGACTGTGATTACCTTGGGAGGAGTGCATAAATTCCGCTTCAACCACCCGGCAGAGGCAGCAATCCTTCGGGAGCGAAGACGGGTAGGCACTGCTCCCCTAAGCGTTGACATCTCCTTTGTGATAAGCTGCAAACAATATGAAAATCTAGCTCATACAGTCTTTTTAATTAAAGCAGCTTTTCTTTTTGCTGTTTTCTTTAGGTCAGTGAAGGCATTATGACATGCACCTATGCTGACTTTTGTCTCCCTACTCCTGACAATGAGTGAGTATCATCCCCAAACATAAATTAATAACTGTTATTTCAGCACTTAGATTGCACAAATAGGCCAATCTTTCGTGCTCCTGTTGGGTTGGTTTCATCAGCCCAAACATATCAACCTGTCTCTGGTTGCTGTTTACAGTTCAGCCTCAGGAGTTGCTTAGTTACTGCTGACGGCAGCTTTTAGTTCAAACCCTCGACACAATCCGAGAACCATGTTCTATCCTTTGTGTCAAATCTGTAAAGTAAAATATTGTTCTTTCTTTTCTCATTTCTTGTGTCCTGATTCTGTTTTGTAGTGTCAAAGAATTAAAGCTGGATCCGTGTGAGGAGCTTACAGCGAGGGGACGTGTAGAGGAGCAGAAGCGCTATGTGGAGAGTTTGCGACGGGAGATTCAGGCTGAGCAGAGAAGGGCAGAAGGGGAGCTGGAAAGGGAGCAGGCTCAGCTCCACCAGCAGTACTCTGAGAGTAAGGATTTTACTACTGTTATATATTTCATATATAAATATCATTTCTTAAGCCAATACAAAGTTGAAAGTATAAAAAAAAACATGTCTGCCCTTTTTTTTATAGTGCTTCAAACAGTGTTCATACCATTGAGCTGTCGAAGATTTAATTAATCGGAAGCCATAAATCTTAGTGTGTTGGAATTTAATGTGATGGAACGATAAAAACATGATATCATTGTACAGCTAAAGTGAAAATAGAGATGAATCAATATTTAAAGCAGTCACAGCTGGAGGGTTAGGGTTATTTATTTATTTGCAAAGAGAAGCTCTGTCCGATTGGGTAAGGAATAAACGGCAGCCTTTCCACAGATCCTCAGTGTGTCTCAGGACTTTGACTCGGCCATGAAGATGCTTTGGTCTCAACTGTTCCACTGCAGCTCAGACTTTTTGTACTGGTGTTTTTTGTGGTTCTGCTAGAAAATAAACCTCTGATGCAGATGTGTAGCTTTTCTTAGCACAGACAGGTTTGCTTCCAGCAGTGCCCTGTATAAACCTACGTTTGTTTTCAGCTTTGCTGTCGTGTTGGTGAAAAGCAGTCACACCAACATGCTGCTGTCATATTCCTCTATAGAAGGAGGATGTTTTCAGGGCGATCTGCAGTGTTTAGTTTTTTTTGACACTCAAATTTTGCTTGTAGGCCAAAAGCTAGCTCCTTCCTATGTTTGCAGAGATCTCTTTAACTGCAAGCCTTACTGATTTATTTGAGGAATGGTTTTCTTCCTACTCTTGTTTTAAAGCTGGATTAGTAAAGCATCACTATTTCATAGTTTGGCTGTGAGCAGATTATTCCACTAGAGCTAAGGATCCTTGCAGCTCCTCCGCAGAGATAATTTGGATGGAATTATTCTTTTCTACGTGTTTTTGTAATTATTGATGTTAATCCATGTGTAAGTCCAGGTGTAAATGTTTTTGCATGGCACTGTTTCTGATTTTTAGAGCTGATCAATATTATTTCTTTCACAATAGTGCAACAGTGGATTATGCATGAGACACTGAAATCACCAGATGAGAGGCGAAATCAAGACTCTGCTGTTCAAACAGACCTGCTCCCCGCTCCTCTTCTGGAAAAGCTTACAAATGAGACGTCCATTGGTCAGAAAAATACCAACATGGAGTTTCCGTCCAAGGTGATGAGGGTCAGGAAGAAAACGGTGCAGGATGAATTACTAAAGCATCATGCGCTTTGCCGCGCCGAGGGACGCATCAGACGGAGAAAACTGCACTATCAGCTGCAGAAAATCTCCAACAAGCGCCACCTGCTGGATGCTAAGAGGAAGTTACAGCAGCTGGAAAGTAAGCTTCCCCCAGGACCTGACAGCCCACCCTCTCCGGAGATGGGATCTCCCTCAAAGCTAGAGGAAGATTCATCTGTAACACGAAGACACTCTTTTTCACTAGATCTGCTGTCTCGGCTCTACCCTCAGCGCACACCAATCTTTCGGTGGGTATGTTGATTTTTTTATTTCCTTGTTTTACAATGCATCTATCTTAAATCTTTGTTCTCATTTTCTTCCATCAATAGGCACTTCCTCAAGAGAAACAAGTCTGTGGAACAATCATTAAATTCATCAACCATGTCTGATTCCAGTAGCGGCAGAAAGTGGGTTTCAGAGGAATGTCTTCCTCGGGGAAGAACCCAAAGTTGTTCTGGGTCTATCTTCACTGGACAAAATCAGAATACAGTAAACATCAGAGAAACAGCTACAGAACCAAAGCCTCAGCCATGTTTGGGGCAGCTGGGACGGAAACCTCTGCTGCCAAACCGAGATGTACTGTTTAAGAACAGATTTGATAAGAAATCAGTAGCTTTACTGAAATCACCTGTCAGAACTGTACCGCTCCCTGTGTGCAAAGAAAATCTACAAATATCTAAAACAGAGAAAGGCTTATTTGACAAAAGCTGTTTTCAGGAAGGAAAAGGATGTTTCCCTGCAGATAGAGATGGAGTTAAAATGATCAGCAGATCATTGTCTCATTCTGTTGGACCAAGGATAAAAACTGCTCTTTCAAAGGTTTTTAAAAAACCATCCTCGGCTGTTAAAGGCCGACGAATTCTTAGGCCTCTGGGAAGGATTGCTGGTAAATTTCCTTGGAGGAGAAAGAAGAGCCTGAAGGATTCTTTAAGTCATCAGAATGTAGGTTCCATCAAACAGACCATGTCATGTGAGGAGCTTGACCAGAGAGATCTGTTTGAGATCCACAGACACAGACGCTGGCATAGCACCGAGGCGCTGCTAAACAGGAGGAATGGAGGTGCAGAAGGACATGAAGGACTTTTTGGACGACTCAAAGAGCAGGAGGAAGGCGGCGAAGGAACGTCAGACTGCGATAGCCTTTTCTCTGTTGACTCTCTGTCCTCTGCCTACGCAGCAGCTCTAGCTGAGCATTTGACACAGGAAGATCTGGCTCTGAGTGAAGCAGAAAGCAATGACAGTAACATGTCCAGAGATTCCTTAAATTTAGAGAGCAGAAAATTCTCCACGGTCAAAAGACGCAAACAAGCAGCGGTTTCATCTCACTCACAAGTAATAGATTCTAGACCTCTATCTTTGCAGAGCTGTGAAACAGTAGAACCCAGCAGAGTAATGTGCCGGTCTCTGAAATCCATCGGAACATCAGCTGAGATATTTTTGTCTGATGAAAGCAGGAAGTCCCAGGGTGAGACGTCTTCAGCAGCTAACGGCGTGCACAAATTAATAGATGATTTCAGGAAGTTGCAGACCACTTTGACCAGCAGCTGTGGTGGGAGAGAGCCAAAAAACCTGCTGG